ATAATTCGTATAGTTATTTTGTTCTAATATATGAGGTAATAGTTCTATTTTATGATAGTGTTCTCCGGGAAGTGTTTTATATGGAGTAGCTATTGTTTCTAATTCTTCTTGCTTATCTTTTTCGAGGATTTTTATACTTTCTTCATGAGGATGAATACTTCGAATATGTTTTTGTTGTTCTGTAGTATATGTTTGATATTGATTTTCAAGGGTATGGAGTTTATTGAATTCAGGAATTTTTACACCTTTTAAAAGTAATGTAGTTTTGAGCCATTCAAAAAATCCTAAGTTTATTTTTTTCTTTTTTCAAAAATTTATTGTATCTTTTATGAGTCATTTGTAGTAATTCTTTTGAAAATGTAGATAGGTACCAATTTCGAAAATCCGTTTTGATGGCGTATCCAATTTTTAGATTAAATTTTTTTTTTTTATATATGTCTGTTATTGGGACTTTTGGTATGTTCCAGTTTTGAATATGTTGTTCAACATTTTCAATAACTGCTTCTTTTTTATTTTTTACCATTAGAGTATTTTTAGACGATGATAGTGTTTTATTAGATAAGGTTTTAATAAAATTTTCCATTTATCGGTACGGATAATGACTCTGATCAATCTCTTACGTCTTGAACGACCTGAACGGCTCTCCTTGGCTTAAATGGTCTTATGACTGGGTGACAATGAGTCTTAGCACTCGGACTATCGTATAAATGACTAATTTTATTATAATCTTATCTCCTAAACACTATAATTGGCAAAAAATAGTCTAACAGTAAATAATTTAAGAATTTCTATTGGCTCTGATACCAAACAGCAATCAAGATCTATCGTTTGTCAAATTCTTAAATTCTCAGCAACCAAGATCTATCGTTTGTCAAATTCTTAAATTCTAATGGTATCTTAGTAACATAGTGCTATAGTCTAATAATGATCTAAGAAGAGAAGTGTAGTATAGAAATAGAATAATAATGAATAATAATGAATGAAATAACAGAGATATCTAATATTATCCACGTGGTATAATTGCTATTTCGTATCTTCACGCTAACTATTATTTTAAACTGCATAATATAAACAATCTTTATTGATACAGATTCAAACAAAGTATAAAGTACAGACAGATTAAAGCCGAGTACAGACACAACTTACAATTTACAAAGGCAGAAACTTGAAAAATGTTGTCATTCGTCCGGACAGAACGATGGTAACTTATGTATATTACAGTCACACATTGCTGCAAATTAAAATAAAGGGCAATGAAAAGATCTTACTTGAGAAAGACTTGCCTGAAGGTTTCGCAGAAGTCAGGCTGAAAGTGATTGGGTAGAAAGTAATGAAGCCTTTCTGAATAGGGAGAAAGCAGGCAGAGCTTAAGAAGAGAGAGAGAGCAGGCGGAGCTTTTTGAAGAGAGGGAGCAGGTGAAAATTCCCGATGCCTCAAGTGAATGAGAAGAGAGCATTTTATAGGCAGGAGTGAGCAGGCAAAGGTGTCGAGCTGGAGCTATTTTGATTAGACATAAAGAGCGGAGAAGACGTAAAGAGAAGAAATGAAGCTTATCGGACTGACAGTGGTGAGCTGGTAAGGTAGATGAGAAGAAAGGAAACTTTAAAGACAGATATGACTTAAAGATAAAGGGTGAACGAGACATGACACGACTAAAAGAAAAAGCAAAATTAACTTTTGTACATGACATGACTAAAAGAAAAAGCAAAAATAACTTTTGTACATGATATGACTAAAAGAAAAAGCAAAAGAAAAATTAACTTTTGTACATGACATGACTAAAAGAAAAAGCAAAATTAACTTTTGTCGGCCATATCGTACGGAAAGCATCTTGACTAGTGACTTCTGTCTCTTCTGTTGTATGGCAGATGCCGTCTGTCGACCTCTTTTATTCCGTTTTTGGATAGATGTATAGGTGGCTTCTTCTGGATGCATACAGGTGGCTTCTTTTACATGGACATACAGGTGGCTTCAAGAGGATGATGTGACAAGCGTTTAATAGCTGATAGTTTGTACAGATTGCTGGGCTGAGCGGGGTTATTCGGGTCTGTGGCTGAAGTCATTGTCAGGCTCAGATGAAGGAGAGTGGCTTCTGAGGTTTCTTCTTGTATGATCTTTAATAACTGATTTTACAGTTCATCTTTAGTTGCTCTAGGGTTTTGTCTTCGCATTTGTCTTATATATTTGGCGAAAGTATTTGCAAATTCTTTGGGATCATTTTGATAATCATGAGCAGCATGAGGTATTCGTTTAGGTTTTATAGTATTTGGGTCTATGCTAAAAACATCCCACCATCGAATCGATATTCTCTTTCCCAATCGGGGTATATATTCAAAATTATTATGAGTATTTTCATTTATTCCATATTCCCATTTTACTATCCAGGGTATCTGATATATAGTCATAAAATAGAGATGATAGTCTATATCATCATTAACTCCATTATATTCAGCAAATGCTGTTTGAGCAACTTTGAAGGAGTCAGGCAATATTTGAGTTCCTGATCTCCAGATTAGAAATCAATAACGAAACCAACTAGGGAATCTCTTAGAAACAGGCATTTTAATCTGGACAAACCATGTATGAGAATTATTTAGGTTTTGATATGCAAACACTTTATGCCATATATCTATATATTCAATATATCGATATGATTTATATTGAAATTTTGGGGCTTGAAGTTTTCGGCCCTGGGATGGCCCGTACCCCCAATCATCATAATTTTCTTATTTGTATTTTCGAATATCCAATTATTTTTGTATTGGGATTGAAGAAATGCATAATTGAAATAGACCCTGTTTCTAAAAGGACAGCTTCGTACCACTCTCTGGTCTTGTTGCCGTTTGAAGGATTAAGGTGGTTTTGTAAATATAGAGTGGCTAATTTATTTGGGTCAATATGTGTATGTTTTTCATCAATGGTAACATCTATCAATAAAGCAATTTCTTCATATATTGATTTATTTGGGTTAACGGATTTATTGGGGCTAGATGCTGGAGTGAAGACTGGAACATATTTTGGTTGGGATGAATATTCTGGGTAATTGATTGATCTGGCTAGAGATAAAGGCGGATAGGAGTGTAGGGGTGAGTCAGATATAGTCGGGACAATCTTCATAGGTAGTTTTCCTTTATTGCTATTGTTGATATTCATATTAAATAATTGTATTGCGTACCTTTTTGAGGCTGGTTCAAGAGGCGGTAGATCCCTTCTCCCCCTGCAAAAATTCACGGGTGAGAAAATCAGGAAGAGAGTTAGAAGAATCATGAAGATCTTCAATTGTAAAATCGAAAGAAGATAAAATCGATTGTCAACGGGCAAAAATCCGTTCAGATACAAGATTTTGAACATCCTTTTGCAAAATATCGCGAGCCGATTTACATTCAGTTCTAATAAGAAATGAGGTATTAAGATTGTCGCTCTGAAATTTATTCACGCAATGAACAATAGCTAAAATTTCTTTTTTAATGGTTGAATAGTTTTGTTGTGTAGAATTCCAGGCCTTAGATGTATAACGTACTAATTGTTCTTTATCATTTACTTGTTTGTTTAAGGATTCCGCCTAAACCAAGTTCAGAGGCATCGCATTCAATAATTTTAAAAGCAGTAGGGTCAGATAAGACCAAGCAAGGTAATTCTGTTGATTTGCTTTTAAGAATTCGAATAACATTAGTATGTTGATCCGTCTATTTAGGAGGATTCTTTTTTAGTCGATCGTATAAAGGTTTAGCAATAATAGCAAAATCTTTAATAAAATCATAAATATAGTTTAAGCATCCTAAGAATCGTTGTAATTCAACTTTATTTAAGATAATATCAGGGAATTTAATAGAGAATTCAATAGCTCTATCTATGGGAATAATTGTGCCTTGGAAGATATTATGGCCTAAGAATCTAATTTTAGGTTGACAAAGAACTATTTTCTTTGCAGAAACTACGAGTCCTGCATTTTAATAGTATTGAGAAATATATTTAAATGTTTGAAATGTTGATGTATATCAGCTGAAAAAATAAGAACATCATCAATGTAAACTATCATAGATGTCATATAAGGGTTAAAAACATCATTCATAATTTTTTGGAATTCAGATGGTGCATTTTTTAGGCCGAATGGCATTACATTCCATTCATACTGGCCAAATGGAACATTAAATGCTGTTTTATAGCAATCCTTTTCATTTATTTGTATTTGCCAGTATCCGAATTTAAGATCAAATTTTGAAAAAATACAAGCATTTACAAGTCTATCTAATAAATCTTTTTTATTAAGAATTGGATATCTGATCCATTTTAAAACTTTATTTAATGGTTTGTAATTGATAACTAATATTGGAACTCCTCGTTCCTTTTCGGCATTATTTTCTACATAAAGGCGGCACAACTCCATGGAGATGAGCTTGGCCTTATTAATCTTTTTTCTAAGAGAGAAGTTATTTCTTTATGACAAATTTCTAACATTTTTGAATTCATCTGGATTGGGCGAGCTTTTGTTGGAATTTTAGTTTCAGAAAATCCTTCTTCATATGGAAGAGATACTATATGTTTTCGTCGATTCCAAAAAGCATTAGGTAAATCACTATATATCTCTTTTTCAAATTGGTGTCTTAAGTTTTCGATTTTTTATTTCGTTTTAGGAAGTGATCGCTGTTCGTCAATTGCTTTATATTTTATTTCAGTTCTGAGCTGATATAAAAATTTCTCTTTATTTTGTAGATTTTGTTTTATATTATTTATTTCTTTTATTTTTGGTTTATCAATAAATTCGAATTTTACTTTTATTCCTTCAATCTTTGATTCTAATCCAGTATGATCTATAACAATAGGGTATAGCATACTAATAAAAGGAGTACC